CGGCGGCTGCTCAGGGCCTGGTACAGTGGTGGCGGCCCCGGCGGAGGTGAGTGCGCGACTCGGTAGTATCCCTGAGTGCAGACTCAGGGGAGCGAGATGCACAACTGGATCCTGAGCCCGGGTCACCGCGCTGAGCAGATCCCCGGGGAGGGAGGCCTTGGACCCCTGAGTTGAAGACACCTCGCAGAGCAGGCGCCCTGGGGAGTTAGGGCCTGGCCCCATTACTGGTAACACTGCGCAGAGCAGTGCCCTCTGGGAAGGCCTGGCCCCATGCTGTGGGGACACCGCGCAGAACAGGGTCCCCTGGGGAAAGTCTTGTCCTGTGCGTTGGGGACACCGTGCAGGGCAGAGTCCCCTGGGGATGGAGGGCCTGCTCCCGTGAGCTGGGGATACCACGCAGGGCAGGGTTCTCTGGGGAAGGCCTGGCCTCATGAGCTGGGGACACCGCGCAGGGCAGAGTCCCTGGGAAAGGAGGGTCAGGCTCTTAAGAGAACACTGCTGTGTATCCTACGAGGCACCAATATGGTGAGTTGCAGTGAGAGGCGCTGTCCCCAGGCCGCAGTTGGACCCTGACCATGACCAGTATCTTATTTGCCCAGAGCACACTGGGAATGCTAACTCAGAGCTCGCTTGACTTGTGAGGACTCGCTTCCCTGGAGGGCCAGCCTCAAGAACTCAGAGCGGGCCACGTGGGCGTCAGGCAAACAGGGTCTGTAGTCTCTCATCCCCTGGCCAGGACTGGGGTCACTGGCAGCCCATCCTCCACTCAAGTCTTGACACTGATTCACACTTCAGACACCACAGGCCTCCTCTACAGGTGGGGGCTGTGTAGACAGAACCTTTAATGGGAAGAAGGGTGGGACTGGCTCTTCAGACAGTGACAGGAATTCTGTATTAGACGCGTGGAATTCTAGGTGACATCCAAGATGTGGGGGAAGGAGGCTGGAAAGAAGACGAGTTCTCTGGAGGGTGAAGATTTAGATCCAGGGGCCTTGAAAGAGGAAGGTGGGCTCAGGAGCAGAAGCTGGGTGAAACTGAAGGAGAAAGGACACCCTGAAGGGTCTCCAAAGAGGAAGGAGCAAAGGTGGGGTGGGTATACTGGGAGCATTGGTGTAATCGGAGGAGCAAGGTCGTGATGTAGCTCTGCTGAGAACTTCCAGGGCTCTAGTCCCACCCACACTTACTGTTCCTTGTTAGTTCCACATCTGTGGAATGGGATCATCGTGGGTGACATCTCCACCTGGAGGAAGCTGCAGGAGTCAGGCAACGTAAGCACCTGACATGCTTTGCTGGTTGACAGCACTCTCACCTGTGGGACTCCACCAGAGGAAACCCAGCCTCAGACATTGTCACTTGCTCCAGTAGCACAGTGCTGATAGCTGTGGACCTGTATGATTTCTACAGAGTATTCCTGATTCAGGTACAGTGGTGCCTCGGTTCATGAACTCAATTTGTTTCACAATTTTGAAAAAGATGGCCATGGTCATGTTTGTCACCCAATACAGAGTTTGCAAACAAAAACAATTTTGCCAAATGCTTCTTTTTGCAAACAGTTGTTTGCAAACAAAAAGCCTTTATGAACTGAGGTACCAATGTACCAGATGTTAAGGGTGTTGTAATGGGGATGGGATTTCAGACTACTTTTCAAGTTTTTCTCCTGGAAAGCTGTGCTTTATTTAGTTGGTTGTTTTTAGAGGCAGAAATGATTGTGTAAGGTCTCCACACAATGGCAACCACGTGTCTTATTTCAATTATCAGGTTTCCTAATCAACAAACTAGACATGATTGTTGCCATAAATTCTATTACAGTTTTGGGTGTGCCTGTGAGCAAATGACAAATGACCTTGATAAGCAAATTACTACTTTGCTGTATTTTGCCAGTCATAACATTAGTCATTCATGTTTATCAATGGGGAGAATCTTGCCAAGACTGCTTCCATTGCAAATGTCAAAATGTAGCAGAAACTAGGAAGTGGAATATTATTTGTATCTTCATGCAAGACAGGTGACTTTGTCAGTCTGCTCATGGCCTTCCAGGAGCTGAAGGTAACCCTCCTAATTTCCAGTCCCTTTGCTTTGGTGGTTACATAACCTGATGTAATTCTTTTTTTTTTTTTTTTTTTTTTTTTTTTCTCTTCACTTTCAAAGCTGTATGTAAAGAAGAAAAATGGAAAGTGGCACAGTTCTGCTGGAATCCAAATCCTCCCCATTTCACCTGCTGCGGGAAATGCACAAGCTCCGCCTTCTCGGCCACCTGTGTGACGTCACCATCAGCGTGGAATATCAGGGCATCCGAGAAGATTTCATGGCCCACAAAGCGGTGCTGGCGGCAACCAGCAAGTTTTTTAAGGATATGTTCCTGAATGAGAAGAGTATGGATGGAGCCAGGACTAATGTGTACTTACACGAGGTGCAGGTGGTCGACTTTGCTTCATTTCTTGAGTTTGTTTACACCACCAAAGTCCAGGTAGAGGAAGACCGGGTGGAGCGGATGCTGGAGATGGCAGAAAAGCTCAAGTGTTTGGACCTGTCAGAAACTTGTTTCCAGTTAAAGAAGCAGATGTTAGAGTCGGTCCTTTTGGAATTGCAGAATTTCTCAGAGTCTCAGAAGGCTGAAGCTAGCAGTGGCCCCCTGACCAGTGTTACTGTGGACTCTAGAGCAAGTGTGGCCAGGGATAGTGCCCATTGCAACGGTCTTGTGGGCTCCTCAGATCACTCAGAGGACAGGATCAACAGCGGCTTGTCACCTGATATGCCAGTGAGGAAGCCCAAGGAAAAGCTAGAAAAGAAGAGAGATGTGGCCAAACCTCCCTACTCTAAAATCAGAAGAGCAAGTGGAAGGCTGGCTGGAAGAAAAGTGTTTGTGGAAATACCTAAAAAAAAATACACAAGACGACTCCGAGAGCAGCAGAAAAGTTCAGAGGAGGCAGCTGTGGGGGATTGCATGTGTCCCCAGGAGCAGCCTGAGGGCAGTGTAGCCACAGAGAAGGAGGCAGATGCAGAGACAAAGCTGGATGCAGAGACGACTCCATCCGCAGAGATGGTGCCAGCGGCAGGTAGCCAGGGCTGCAGTGTGGGTGCCGGGGAACTAGAGGGAGCACTACAGAAGGAAAGGGCAGCAGGGTCTGGGAAGGAGGCTGAGGGCGACGGCGACCATGGCGAGGAGGGCAGAAAGAAGAGCAACTTGAAGTGTACGCTCTGTGACAAGGCCTTCCTGTACGAGAAGAGCTTCCTGAAGCACGTCCAGCAGCACCACGGTGTAGCCACCGAGGCGGTGTACCGCTGCGACACCTGCGGCCAGACCTTTGCCAACCGCTGCAACCTTCGGAATCACCAGCTCCTCGTGCACAGCAGCGAGCGCCACTTCCCCTGTGAGCTGTGTGGGAAGAAGTTCAAACGCCTGAAGGATGTGAGGCGGCACGTGCTGCATGTGCACGAGGGCGGAGGCGCTCGCCACCGCTGTTCGGAGTGCGGCAAGGGCCTAAGCTCTAAGACGGCCCTGCGCCTGCACGAGCGCACGCACACGGGAGACCGGCCGCATGTTTGCCCCGACTGCGGCGCCCGCTTCTCTCAACCCTCAGCGCTCAAGACCCACATGAGGTGCAGTGTGCGGGCCGGGTGGCCTGGGTGGCCGGAGTTGGGAGTTGGCTTGGAGACAGCGTGCATTCTCCTCAGAGGAGGTGGCGAGGCAATGGGAGATGGTCCGGTCACCCTGACAGACCTCGAGGGCAGGGTATCCACAGTCCTCAGCTGCCCAGGGCTTGTGCTGCAGGCCCGGAGCAGCCGGCGGACATCCTGCCCGGTTCCCTCTGCGCCCCAGTAAGAGTGGGGAACAGATGTCGTGAGATGACATCTGCTTGCTCTGTGTTTAGAAGGTGCAAGTTGGTCAATCCACGATCAGGACTGTTTTCTGTCAGTCTGTTTTTGAGCTGTAAGGGGTGGTGGTCCATTTCCAAATAAGTTTCAGCCTAGCTCCCAGCACATAGCCAATAAGTGGTTAAGCTTCCTATGCTGGCTGTCCTAGGTGTGCTTCCACACCCAGGCCTGCGGTGGGGTGGCAGCGGGCTCCTCTCCTCAGTGTAGGAAGTGAAATCTTTTAGGACATGCGTGGTGAAGCCTATCTGCTGCAGCTTGTGGCTTTGAACTTAAAACGTTTATACATACTGCTCAGACACAGGCTACCCGGCATTGAGAATAGCTTTCTAGGTGGAGCAGATGAGGAAATGAGGGGAAAGTCTTGACCATGTGGTATTTTGTCAGTAACTGTTGCCAGAGTGTCCATGGCTGATCTCTCTAAAGGAGGAAGTTCACAATTACTAGATGGTTTTGGGCAGTCCCTGTACAGGCCCAGTGGCATATGCTGAGCACAGTGGGTGAAGCTCACGGTCCACTGTGTGGACTCACAGAGCACCGTGCCCACCTCCTGACCTCGCACAGAAGCTCCGGACAATGTGGGATGGAGACATGGGTTTTCAGTCCATCCCTCGGAGTGATGGTTTTTGCAGGATAGAGTAGACATTGTATTGCAGAGTGAGCTTTGAACCCACCCTGAGTCACCATCTGGATGTTGTGCTTTCAGAATTCATACAGGGGAAAAGCCTTTTGTCTGTGATGAGTGTGGGGCGAGATTCACTCAGAACCACATGCTGATTTACCACAAAAGGGTCCACACAGGTAAATACCACGCTGCCGTGACTCACTGTCTTTCCTAGCTGTGGAGGGAAACTGCTGGCTCTGCCAAGAGGTACAGGTTGAAGCCACTCTCTAGCTTTCTATCTAGTGATCAGAAACGAGTAAAAATCACCATGGGCTGCAGTCCTTGGCCTCTGCACAATTCTAACCTCTGGGTCTCCTTGTCCAGAGGTGTGAAACAGGTCCCAGGGACTGAGCTTATTTCTAGGAATTTATCCTTCAGCATAAATTCAAATGACAAAATAATGTAGGCCTTTATTTTATTTATATATTCATTCATTTTTTTGGTATTGGGGATTGAACTCGGGACCTTGTGCTTGTGAGGCAGGCGGCAGAACCACTGAGCTAAATCCCCCCTTTCTTGCTGTTTTTAATAACAGATTGGAAACCAAAGGGTGGACCTGATTGTCCAGCCAGTCAGCTTCCTGAGGTAGATGCAGGCCCCCTGGCTTACAGCCTAGCCATTCAGAATAAGGGCTCTGAGCAGCACAAAAATATCTGTGCTTGAAGGTTGAATTTAAAAATGCTTGATTAAACCCATAGTTAATCCCAACTATATGGAAAACCTATACAGAAAAGAACAGAAAAAAACCATTAACATGGTTGATTGTTATATTAAGGTGGTGGGATCATTTCCTATTTCCCAAAATCTTTGCAATGTAATCTGAGCATAGGAGGGACAATATTTAATTTGGCTTTATTCTGGTTCAGCAGTGTCTGTAAGCCTCAGTATCTTCTTGTGAGCTACACAGATAATACACTCCAACTGTTGTATGCTGTGGTTGTTCTGCAGTTCCTTTGCTTAATGTTTTTTACTTCTAAGCACTGTCATAAAGGTGTCAGGTTAAATGCAGACAAGATGGAGATCTGCATTTAATGTGAATGACCTTGTTGCAGATGAGCAGGACTGGGGTACAGTGGAGTGGGGGGTCGGGCAATATCAGGTCACATGGAATAATCAAATCAGAATCTGAGCCAGGGATTTGGCTCAGTGGTTCTGCCACCTGCCTCACATACACAAGGTCCTGAGTTTGATCTCCAGTATCAAAAAAAAAAAAAAAAAAAAAAAAAAAAAAAAAAAAAAAAAAAAAAAAAAAAAAAAAAAAAAAAAAAAAAAAAAAAAAAAAAAAAAAAAAAAAAAAAAAAAAAAAAAAAAAAAAAAAAAAAAAAAAAAAAAAAAATCAGAATCGGTCATTTGATACTTACTGTGTTAAGGTTTTAGGAAAGCTAGCATTTTTAATTTTGCTGTTTGTGAAATCAGGAGCACTCCTTTTAATTACGAGTCTGAGCTACAAGAATGAAAGACTGAAACTGCGAAACATGAGATATTAAACTCTATCTTGCCATGCAATCTCTTCTCGGCCTTTCGGCTAAGATCAAGTGTATCTTGCCATGCAGTCCAGTCTGGAAACAGGTTGCTATTCTAGAACTAGCTTTATATAGTATACTAGTGTAATATAGTAAGTATAATACATATCCACAGAAACTCTCATTTTAAGAATCTTTTGGTTGGGGATTTAGCTCAGTGGTGCCTCTGCTTGCTTCACACACACAAAGTCCTGAGTTTGATCCCTAGTACCAAAATAAAAAAAAAAAAAGAATCTTTTATTTTGATAAAGATCCACATAAGTGTTTTAAAAAAACAGTGCAACAATCCAAAGAGAAGTGAAGCTGTTTCCTTATTGGGAAGAACTAGATTTCTAAAATGTGAGCTGGCTGACATGTTTCTTGGATTTCTAAGGAGGTTTTACACAAACTGTGAACAAGTAGCAAGCATCCTGTGTTAATTAATATTTTATGATAATTTTTATTAGGAAGTCTAACATGCTGCCCACAAAGGGATACTACTCTTCCCATTTACTGTTAATGCTTAAGTACTGTTTCTAATTTTCTTTCATCTTTCCATGTAGGTGAAAAGCCTTTTATGTGTGAAACATGTGGCAAGAGTTTTGCTTCCAAAGAGTACTTAAAGCACCACAATAGAATCCACACTGGCTCCAAACCCTATAAGTGTGAAATGTGTTTCAGGACTTTTGCCCAGCGGAACTCACTCTACCAGCATGTAAAAGTCCACACAGGTAGGGCTGCAGTGACCCAGGGAGAGGGTGCAAAGTGGCAAGAGATGTGGCTGCAATGTTTCAGATTTACTAGAAAACTATTTGGAAGCTTTACCTCCCCCAAATGGCCAAACTGATGACATAAGTGCATTTTTTGGATATTTTCTGGCCTTGAGAAACTGAAATATGGGAGCACTTACATGTACATGGGGGCCAACTTTATCCCTTTGCAGAAATGAGAGATGGGGTGTGGATGTCAGTACATCCTACACTCGGATTATACACAAGGGTAATGGCCTACTTGTTCACATGCACACACACACACAGTTACTAGGGACTTGCAGTTTTCTTCTGTTACTGTGGAAAGCAGGTATCATCTCAGCAGACGGAATACCAGCTGTAGGCACAGATTCTGGCACACTTTTAGTATAGCCATAAAGTCTGTGTGACTCAGATTGGCCCCTCAAGCTGTTGGATTTAGGCTGTGGTTGTAAGCATTGAGGATTTCCAGGCTTGTAGACAGTGTATTCAGCAGTAAACACAGCAGGTGAAGAGGTTGTTCTCCCAGTCACTTTTCTTGTGTTGCAGGGGAGCGGCCCTACTGTTGTGACCAGTGCGGGAAGCAGTTCACCCAGCTCAATGCCCTCCAGCGCCACCGTCGCATCCACACAGGAGAAAAGCCGTTCATGTGTAACGCGTGTGGACGGACATTCACTGACAAGTCCACCCTCCGGCGGCACACCTCAGTAAACAGCAGGAGCCCTGGGAAATGCTGGGCTGGAGGGGGCAGTGGGGTGATGCAGGCACAGTCCATGCTGCACACTTTCCAGCAGTGGCACTGGTGCTGGGCAGATGTTGGGCAGATGTTTGACAGCTGTTGGTGAAATGGGGCTTCACCGCAGTAGAAATGGAATTAAAAGATACCTTTGTTCAGAGTGTCTAAACTGGGAGATTACGGAGGCACATATGGTGAATCTGTCCTGTTTGTTTTGTAGATCCACGATAAGAATACTCCATGGAAGTCTTTCCTTGTTATTGTAGATGGCTCACCCAAAAACGATGAAGAGCACAAAACAGAGCAGCCTGATGAAGAGTATGCACCTCCCAAACTCCCAGAGAAATTGCTGTCCTTTGCAGAAAATGGCCACTTTGACAGCCTGGCCACCATGCCAGGTATGGCACCTGCCAGACAAAACAGTGCCACACATGCAGACTGTAAGGCGGATGCTTCCGTGGTGGTGTCCCAGGACACTCTGCTTGCCACCGCCATGAGTGAGCTTGGTGAGCTGACTCCACAGACAGATTCGATGCCTACACAGCTTCATTCACCCTTTGAGCAGCATTGAATGAGTTTCATGCCATGGGCCAGTGGGTCTACAGGTGACAGCTGTACTCCACGATGCACTAGCAGCCTAGAAGAATCACTGTTTGTGAGCAAGGGTGGCCTCTGCAGATGCCCCCAAACTTGCACATTCTCATCACACCACGTTCAGAGGTTTCCCTTTGGCATCCTGACTTGCATGATCTCCACTCCCTGAATCCTGGTGTAGGCAGCGTGCAGTTGATCCCCTGCCTGATTCTCCTGATGCTTGGCCTGCTCTTGTCCTAATGCATAGAACACAGCACTGCCCAGCTTGAGTGGTCTTCCTGGTCCCACCCTGCCTTAAACTCCATGTACTTTAAAGTGTTTTCTACCAAGCCAAAATAAAGCTGGGACCATGTAATTTTAGCGGCTTCCTCATTGAGCTGAAGCAAATAAGATCTGCTTTGTGACTGAAGCAGTGGATTATTACATTCATTCCTCCCCCACCTCCTACTTGCAGGCACTAAAATAGGAATGACAAATCTGCTGTCAGGTCAGTATGTCTCTCATAGCTCACAGCTGAGGAGTTTGTCAAGAAATTTACTTGAAAATGACATGTGGCTGTTTAGTTTCATTCCTAAAAACAGGCTTGGGTGAAAGCTGTCCTACCAAAGAGTCTAACAAGACAGTAGTACTGTACAGAGGCATGAAAAATGCAGCAACAGGCCTTTGAACACTTGAATGTCATTGACAAGAGCAAAATGAGGGGTGACAAGGGCAAGTCATAAAACATGGAGAATTAGTGTTTTTGCCAGGTTTTTCTCGCTTGATTTGTCATTTCCAAAAACACCCACTTCCTCCTTTGCAAACTGAGAGGTTGTAGCCAGCGATAGTAGGGAGCCGCAAGAGCCTAGAAGGGACCAAAGCCTGGGCATGCACATCTCAGACTGTGCCTTATGGAGCAGTTGGGACAGAGCCAGTAACTGGCTTCAGCGGTCTGCTGGCTGTGTACTGGATTAAATCACTGCTCAGAAACAATGGAAAGAGGATTATGCTGTCACTGCTGCTCCAGGGACCTGGGTGCACGGCCATGTTTGTGAAGTGCTTTGATCCACATGTACCTAAGCCTATTTCAAAGGAATGCCTTCAAGGGAGAGTTCTGTACCCCTGTTGCTTTTCCCCCTGCGTTAATTTATTAAACTTGGTGTACACACCTGTCCTCTAGGAGGAAGGCACCTCACCCTTCTGCTGGAGGATGACGCCAGGCTGAGGATGGCGGAAATGGGCAAGTTTCTTCCACAGTGCTCACTGTGACTCTGGGCTACCCTGTCTGAGGAACTAGTGGAGCCTGTGAGTGCTCAGCAGTGGTCTCATGCTGCTCTGGAAGGTCAGACTGAATTACTGCAAATTCAGTTATCCACACCATAGTACCCTAGTTGTGTTTTTGGAACAAAACCTTGTGACTGCCACATAGCTGTTTCAATCTGAAGAGAAGACTGTCCAGCTCACGGACTGTTTTATGGGATAAAGTCATCTTGATGGAAAGGAATTTAAACAATAGATTATTTTGTTACCTGCTGGAAGACTTTTTTTTCCCTGAATTTGTTTCTTTAGAAGTTCTGCACAAAATTGTTTAATGTGTTAATAAATGTCCGCTTTTTGAAGTAGTTCTGCAGTTAAGTTTATTTACAGGAATATAATTTAGAGTCTGTAGAAATAAGATTCTTAATGAGATGGGTGTAATTCCATAATCAGATACATAGTGAAACTTTAAATCAGGTTCTGCAGACCCACCTAACTGGTGTCCCAGGAAGCAATGGGGGGGCGGGGCCTTCCTGCCTGTCCTCAGTGTGACCAAGGAGACAACTTCCACTTTATTTGCTTCTGTCCCCTCCCCAGCAGTGTACAGCTGTCAGACAGCAAGACTCCCACACCTATAGAAGCCTTACCGCAGGGGACTAGGGGTGGCTCCCCTGCTTCTAATGCAAATACAGCCCCACAGATGAAAGCAATGCCACCCTGTTAAGTGTGCCAAGCAGGTGAAAAGGAAAAATGCTTTAGTGGCGGCACATGGCTCTCAACATGTCAAACGTCACTGAGGAGGCGGCCTGGTGCCACTGCAAACATTTTATGTGAAAAAAACTTAGCCCAAACTCTAAAGGGCTCTGCAGACCTGGTTTTACCACATTTGTGTACAGCTGGACAAAACGGGCCAGGAAATAGGGAAGACCTTATGATACTGCCATCTGTGGTAATTATCTGGGCAAATCTGCCTGTGTGGTGTGAGTTGGCTATAATCTGCATGATGTTACACCTTGGCACATCAAGGACTTCAGCATTTCTGGAAACAAAATTGGTGCTTGTACACTAAACCAACTCTATCTGCTTGTACCAGACGTAGCAACATTATTTCAGCTGGGGGAGGGTGCTCATGCCAAGGCCTTTGTGCACAGGCAAGTGGACAGGTGCAGACGGAGCTGACAGGCCACAACCAGGCCAGTGGGTCATACAGCAAGTCACTGGCTGGCCCCGGCTGGCCTCTGGTAGTCTACAGCCTCTTCCGAGGGCAGCATAGCCAGGCCTTGATTTCTTGTTAGGAAACTGACTCTGAGAAGACACACTGGAATTTCTACACCCAACAGTTTCTCAGATGTCCTGGCCTGGGACAATCTGTTTTTCCATGCATTCCTTAAACCTGCTCTGAATTACCTAAAGTTGCTGTGAGCAGTCAAGGCTCTGTGACAGCATGAAAGGACAAGCTGGTGCCACTGCCCCACACAGCCATCTGCTGTGCCTGGGGATAGCGCCAGGCTTCTAGGGTCCTTACCCACAAGCTCAAAACTTCCAATAACACTCTTTGTTTCCCTTGCAAGTGACCCTGGAGCCCACAGAACTTGGGGAAGGGGCGAGAGCATGAGATCAGCAGCTACAGTGCACACTTAGTGGCCTGTAGCAGCTGAGCTCCGAGGTTTCCTTCTATACCCTCAGCTTGGTTGCCCAAGGCTCAAAGGGCCTACAGAATATGAATGAGGCAGTTTTCAGGAAAGGAAGCTACTTCTGAACCATGTCAATGTAGCTAGGAAAGACTCATCAAGATATTCATAATTTACATTTTATTTACTGTACAGGTTCACATAAAACAAATGCACTCTTTTTGCTAAAGTAGGTTTATCATTATGTGGTTGTTTTTCAATACTGTAGATCCCCGCAGAGGGCAACTCAGGACCTCACAGGCAGGAGCCTGCTACAGTTGCAGCTCACACTGCAGCAGGCAGGGCACAGGCATGCGGTGCTGCAGAGCCTCCACAGGAAGTCTTGAAGGTCTGCATTTAACATTGGGAATGCACAACACCAGAGGAACAATGACTGTACAAGGGCTGGTGCATGTACTTCAATTACAGTGACGCCACCACACATGGTCACAAGTGTGCGAAAATACTGTTTTCAAATCATTAAATAAAAAAGGAATTCACACAAGCTATAAAATTGTTGCCACAAAAAGCAAAGCTTTCCTGTAAGAAATATGAACTGACTTCAACTATGAACTGACCCCAGATCTGCAAAAGGATAAGAACTGTAATACAAATTATCATTATATTCTGTTCATAGACAGCATTCTGAAACCCCAAAAGCTAACTCCTGGGCATCCTGAGATATGGCACCATCCTGCACTCGGGGGACACATGGGGAGGTGAGTTCACATGATTGTCTGGGCTTCTCTCTCTCATTCTCCTTTTATTGAGTCTGGCAGATCTGTTCTTGCCACTGTAATTACATTTATTCTTTTCATGTGAAATATTAGAAACAAAACTTAATTCTTACCCCAGGCACTGGTCCTAGCATTTATTTTAATAGAAATAAGCCACTCTGACACAGAAAAATTGTAGAAATGCTACAGTTTTAAAAAAACCACACATTCTTCTGATGGGCCTGTGAGGAGATCATGCTAAAAGCTAAACAAAGTGCCCCAGAGGAGAGCATGCAGTTTCTACTTTACAAGGCCACCAGAAGAGTCTGAACTAGCACTGCTGACATACCTCCCTGGCTGGCTGATGCTGAAACTGACTGGAGCCAAAGGACTCAAGCCAGAGAACCACTACCCTTGCATTCTCAGATGTGCACATGGCTGTCCACAGAACATACCAGATTCGGCAGCAAAATATGCTTTCCTCTGAACATTCCTTTCAGAGGAGATTCTACATGGGTGTCAAAGAGAACCACCTGGGCTTTAGTCCAAACCCTACCTTCATAGACAGGCAGCTTTCATTCAAGAACCCAGGAACCCAAAGGTGAGAGTGCAGGGCCCGTTCCTCTACACCCACCACACTTCCGGCACCAGAACACTGCCCGTCACTACCACTGCTGGCCCGCCGGATGTAGACTTCCATGTCAGCCTTGGCAGGTGCTTTTTCACTTTACTCCCTTCTTTCCCTCTCACCCTGGACTGACAACCTGCTCTCCAGTCTTCTACCTCCCGGCTCAATGCTGGTCTGATCTACTTCTGCAGAGCAAGAGCCTAAAACTCGCAGCCAAAGGCCACCTAAAAATGGTAACCTCATCAAACATTCCTCCTCACTACCTAACAAAACACAGAAGGTTTTGCTATCCGGCACTAATGGCAGCAGCACAATTTTGAAAGAGGTGCAGTATGTCAGGCAACTTACACCTCTCAAACCATTTAAGTACACAAATATGCACAGGAGACAAGGAATAAGCCCATGTCGGAATATGGTACCAGCAAGGACGATGTTCTCAGCTCAAGAACATACACAGGTCGTAGAACCTAAAATAAGCCCACCAGCCGAGACAATTCAATCCCCAGATGCAAGGCAGGATCTCACCCAGCCAGGCACACGGTAACCTCCTGTGCCATCCTGCCTGCCCTTAAGCCATCAAGTTCAACAGAGGGATGAAGTCAATCATACACATTCTCATGCTCTGACTGGACAGTCCATCCCTCAAGACTGGCACAAGCATGGTACAGAAGACAGCTCAAAATCTCTAAGTGTACAAACAAGAAATGAAGAACAAGACATGCCAACAGATGTACTTTCCCCCAAATAAAGACTTTCTCCTGGGAAAGGAAATTTTCCACTTCTCACACATTTTAGAAACTTGGAGGTGTGTGGTTAAGTACAAACCCATCAAATCCACCTTGACTTTCATTCAAACAGGAAGCAAGTCCTGCCAGCAAGCTCCTTCTCCCAACACCAAGTGATGCCAACAGACCCCACTGCTCTGAGTTTCTGCCATGGATATGCGAGCAAAAGGAATATAAAAGCAAAGAAAGCTGTCACTAGCACCATCAAAATATCACAGAGAATAAAAATAAACCACTTCTAATGATGTTGTAAACTCACCCTAATAACCACCCTAAACTGAATGCACAGAACACATCCAAATGCCAACACCCTGGAGTTTGCAAAGCATCCGTTAGAGCAACAGAGCTGAGTCCTGAAGTCCAAGGAACAGAACATAAACAGTAACAAAAAAGAGGGGCCTGTGGATGTCAAGGGACAGGAAGGAGTAAGATTGGAAGCACTTCTTGGGAAGCTCTGGGGACTGAACATGAAATGGACTCTGGCTGTCACAAATACAACAGCAACAGGAGCCTCCCATTCAGCTGCTTCACAGTGACACAGACATGGCGTGCTGAGCAACACAGGTCACTGGGCTCACAGGCAACAGAATGAAGCCATTAAATGGGCATCCCATGAGATCATTTGGCCCTAACACAAACTAAAGAGGAGTGAGCTACATGCCACAAAGACAGAGATGCTTCACTTCAGGTCTCCATCCCCTTCGCCATCGCCCTGGATGGACTTCTTGATACGCAGTAACATGGTAGTCAGCCACTGGTCCAAGCGTGATATCGAGTCAAACTCCTTTACCTGGTTCAAAGAACAAGGAACAGGAATTACTCAGTGGAAACACATTCAAACATGACAGCAGTGACCATGCTGTTTAAACACTTTATAGCAATAACCCATCAGCTTCCTTCAATAGCAAGGCCATAAAAGTTTTTAAAAGTTTACTTTTCATTATTTTATGACTATTGTGATGGCACTGGTGACAAGTGCCTGTTGTTTTTTATTTTTTATACTACTTTGTACATGAACATGTATGTGGTAAAAATGAGAACTGGAAAAGTGACAGGAAACTGGATAGCAGGGAGGATATGGAGAATCAATTCACCAGGCAGCATGGGGCAGATCTGGGAGGAGTCAAAGCAGAATCCCTTCAGTAGATCTCACTATACTGCCAAAGAACACCACTATGACAAGGTTTGGGGAAAAAGCTAAACAGGAAAATATTCCTTTCCAAACCCCCTTTAGGGTCCAATGAACACATTTTTGTTTGTTTTTTGAGATAGGATCTCACTATGTGGTTTAGGCTGGCCTCAAACTTCTAGCAATCTGCTTGCCTCAGCCTCTAGGAGTGCTGGAATTACAGACATGTACCATCACGCCTAGCTTACAACAAATATATTAACAGAGGACACTGAGAAATCTACTTGATTTTAAACATAAGATGGGAAAACACAAAAAAAGACAAGAAGAAAAAAACTTATTTTATGCCTCAAATATAGTGAACTTAGTTTTTATACTTTATATTTGAACTAAGTTTACCTTACACTTATTTATGAATCAGATCATTTTCAAAAGAAAGCCCTGAAATAGCAAATCATAGCAGCACATGTCTTCTCTCAAAGAAGCCTCACAGCTAAATTAGTTATGAGCATACGTCAAGAAACAGTGAATACACTGGAATTTTAGCATAGTCAACTTGTGAAGAGAACAGCTTCTTCATCCAGTGGCGGCGAACCTACAGCATGTGTGCTGCAGTGGGCTGTTTGTTATCAGTGAAACCTTTAAAAGGCTCACCATCACTGGCCTAATTTCTGGGGAAAATGAAACTTGATCTTTAGAAAATACTGCTAAAATTATTTCAAATAAATGTTCTGAATTTATACAACAGCAAGGAGAAGACATTTCTATACATAAACCTTCAAAAATGCACCATACCCTAAGGGTCTAACTTACTGCTTCAGTGTAAGCTTCACTGTTCTGTTCTTCATGAGCTTCTAGAAGTTTCTGGCAGCATTGGAAAAAAAAATATGAAAAAAACAAAAAACAATTAATTGGTTGAGTCCTGAAAGTTCCATTTCTAAATAGATGATTTAAACATAGACCTAGCCTTGGTCCTGCATTAATGGAGAATGCCAGAATCTCAGGACACTGGGTCAATATTCACCCGATCCAGGGTCTGGCTTTGGTGAGGCACACAAGGCTCTCATCCTCACCCCGATAGCTGCACACTTTGGGGAACAGCAGGAGAGCACCAAGCCCTTGGTACGTGCTGATGAATGAAAATGTCACCTCATACTCTGACCCACTGAGGTGTTGTCATCTGAGAGCAAGAGCTTTTCCTTTAAAGTTTGTAATTACTCACTTTCAATAATTTACATTCTCTTGAATCAGTAAATGCTGGAAACATCTCCTCGTATTTCTCGAGAGCAAGCTGAAGGAGAGAAAGCACAGATCAACTTTAGATTTACCAGACTAGGAAGGAAACTTCAGATTCCCTACTAACGTGCGACTTCCTCATTTCAGAGCTGCATCCTCTAGGTGAAAGGCTCTTTCTTAACTCCATCCCAACACCAGGCAAGTCACAGGCTGGACACCCAGGAGCTCTTCCTTCCAAAGTCCCGACAGCCACTTGGTGCCAAGTCCTTGCCTTCACCCCCAGCTTCCATTTTGCTTTCCAGGTTCTCCCCATACTCAGGCAAGTCCATTCCTAAATTTTTCTGCTTTATTGTTTCCTTCTTAATTTTTACAGTGCCAAATAACTCCAAGAAAACAGCCTTCCTAGTCTGGCCATGGATCGGCACTAATAAATTCCTCTTTTGAATGTCCCCAAGTTCAGTCTGGCTAAACACCCACCAAAGGATGATGGAATGTACCTTGGGTGACCTTACCTTGGCGTTCAGCTCATCCACAATGAAGTGGCACAGCGCCGCCTTGAAGAAGTAGTCTTTGGCACTGTACTTCAGCAGGGGGTTGTCCATTGTGTTCGCCCCAACCTGGAGCAGAAGGTGGAGTTAAAGCAAAGCTCTGCCATCTGATAGCAACACAGCTACTCTGTGTATTCACCTGCTGCCCTTCAGAAAATACTTAGCAACCTCATGAAGGTTAGCTATGGAATCCATTCTTCCAAAGCAGTAGCATGAAGTAGAGAATTTTATTAGAACAAGAAAGTATGTACAGTGTTTAAGGTAGCAGAGACGTAGTCACAGAGGCTGCAGGGGTTTCTCAGGGAACCTGGCGGCCACCTCCCAGGCAGGGCCAAGACACCTCCACAAGCTGAAGGCGGGCTAAGGGGGACGTGAGGAGGGCAAAGCCTTCCCCATCACCATACACCAGGAGGGGAGGCTCCCTCTGCCTAGGTATTCACAGAGGCCTCTGGGGAACCTGTCACCCTGGGCATGAAGGGGAGGCTAAAGAAAAGCTGGGCTCTTCGCAACACACAGACACTTTGTTCCTGACTAAAAATCACTCACTGTGCCACTTGCAGGCAGAGCTGAAGCTGAATGCACAACAGCAGCTCCCATACAACAGAAATGTCAGAATCAGTCAGCAAGGACTTCAGAGGAGCCCTCACAAAAGTGCAACAAGCAGTTACAAAATGCCAAGAGTGAACGGGGGAAAAGGAATCTACAAAAATTAATCACAGAAAAAGAGATAAAAACAAATGGAAACTTCCGAACAGAAAAACAGTAACTAATGTAGGTCAGCTCAATATGAGCATAATGGGACAGAGATCAGTGAATGGGTGACAGAGCAGAAGTTATGCAGAAGAGGAACTCAAGGCAGACTTCACAGAAAATAAACACGTAGGACACACCCAGCCTAATACCCAGTCTGAGTCCTGAAGGGCAAGCAGAGAGAGAAGGGTCCGAAAGTATACAAATAATCACTGATGACTTACAGATTCAAGTTTAGTAAAACTCACATGGGACAGAACTGAAGATATCTACTGCAAGCCACATTAAAATTAAACTCCTGAAACTGGAAGACAAGCAAAAGAATCTGAATATGGCTGGAGGAAAACAACGCCCATGTAGCATGGAAAGAGCGACACTAAATAGCCTTCACACAGAAGGAAAAGAATGATGAACCCAGAATGAAACACCCAGGAAAAACGTATCAGAACAACAGGGAAACCCAAATGCTCCCAGACAGAGAAAACACATTCGAGTTGTCACCAGCAGACCTGCTTTGGAAGCACAGCATCTGGATGCTCTCTAATGAGAAAGGAGACAGTAAGAGAAGGAACCCTGGAACAACACAAAGGAACAAAGAACACAGGCACACCAGACTTTCCTTCTCTGAGTTTTTAAACCATTTGATAGTGGAAGAAAAATTCTAACACTGATGGATGTGGGTCTAGCTCCGCACCTGAAATACTGAGACAATCACACCAAAGGTGAGGCCAATGAAATGTAAGGTGGTGTAGGAGCTCTGTAACTCAATGAATGGACAAAATCAGAACACCAACAGCATGAGGCAAGTTATATACATACAATGCAAAACCCGAGCAAGCACTGAAAAGCTAGTCAATGACAGAAGGCCAAGCAACCCACAAAAAGGATGAAAAGAGATACGAAAACAGAGCAACTAAAGAGTAAATATAAAATCAGAGTTTTAAGCCCTAGCCTATCAGAAATTAAATGTGTCTGATTTAAATATAACAATTAAAGCCGGGCGTGGTGGCACACGCCTGTAATCCCAGCACTCGGGAGGCTGAGGCAGGAGGATCACTGTGAGTTTGAGACTAGCTTGGGCTACATAGTGAGTTCCAGGTCAGTCTCAACTACATAGTGAGACCCTGTCTCAAAAAAACCAAGAAATAAATAAATAAATACATACATATATACAGCAATTAAAAGATTGACAGGACTGAATTTAAGAATAGTACCAAGCTATAAGAAACTTTATTTCAATTATAATGATTATAGGCTACTAAAAGGAGAAACGTGGAGAAATACATATAAACAATAATCAAAAGAAAAGAGAAGTGGTGGTATACTCCAAGAGGCCGAGGCAGGTGATCACAAGTTTGACATGAGCTTATGTTAAAATTTAAAAACCAAATTGTTAGCTCAGTGCAAAGAGTTAGGTCCAATCCCTGTACTGCAAAGAACAAAAGAGGTTACAAAGCAGATTAAATACACATCAGAGCAAAGATTACCAAAGACAGAACATTACACAAAGATAAAAGGGTCTATCTACCAAGAACAGCAACCCAGAACTGCAAAAATGTGAAACACTGAATGAAAGGAGAGTGAGATAAATCCATAATGATACCTAAAGACTTCAACACCCCAACTCTCAACAATAGGTAGAACTAGGACCAAGGATTTAGCTCAGTGGTTCTGCTGCCTGCCTTGCAAGCTCAAGGACGGAGTTCAATCCCTGGTACCAAAACAACAACAATAACAACAACAACAACAACAACAACAACAACAACAACAAAATAATGGGTAGAACTAGACAGAAATCCACAAGTATACAGAATTCAACAAGGTCATCAACCAACAGGATCTAACCTGTACTTAAAGCAGCCACCCAGCAATAGCAGAACCAAAAAACAGGTCTAGACAGACCACCTTCTGGGCTATTACAGGAAAGCTCTAAAACAGAAATCCAAGGTGCATTCTCCATCCACAGAGGCATCAAACTAGAAAGTAACAAGACAAAGATGACAGGAAAATCTCCCAACGTGCAAATTATATGAAACACTTCTAAATGGATCAGCGAAGTTTCAAGGAAATCAGTAAACATAATGAAATGCATTAAAATAAAAACACAATATGAATCATGAAACACATTTAAAACAGTGCTAAAAAGGTGACTGAAATCACTAACGGTGCATATGCAATATGTGGAAACTCAGAGAGCTAAACAACTTTCCATCTGAAATGCCCAGAACAAAAAGAGCAAAATAAAGCCAAAGAAAGCAGACAGAAAAATGAAGGCAGAATTCAATAAAAATGGGGGAAGGGAGGAAAATCACTGACTTCTTACCAAACTATTAAAGAAGAATCAATGTCAGTCCTTTACAAACTCTTTATTCTGAGGCCAGAATTACCTAGATTCTCACACCAAACAAAAACATCTCTCTCTCTCTCTCTCTCTCACACACACACACACACACACACACACACACACACACAAAATTAAAGATCAATATGCCTTGTGAATATCCTCACAAAATGCTCAATAAACATCAGCAAACCTGTTCTGGCAACTTGTGAAGGGTTACACATCATGAGGCACATGCAGTGAAGTGTCATCCTGCCCAGCAGAGGAATGGCCTTGCCCATGGCTCCTGGAAGTCATCTCTAAATCCTTGAGGTGCCTAGCCTCACAGAATGCACTGTGTACCGGGGCCCTTTGGACTGTGGTGCAGCTCAGCCAAGGCTAGGGTAGAGAATCAGGCTGGCCACCAGGTGGCCAACCAGGCCCAGGAGATTGAGCCCTGGTGAAAACTCAGGGCAGCAGGCTCACATATCAGACTGCACGCCCAAGACCACTGGGAGTGGAGCTCATCCAGACTGCACGTTGAGCCTCTCCCCTACTGACCCAACCTGCAGCTCTCTGCTAGGATGAAACTTCACTGTGACCAAAACAGCATTCAGTGAGCTGAATCCCTCCAGCAAATTACTATACTTGACAGGACATTGAAACTGTGCAGTGACCTTGAGGGTATTTTGGGGGATAATGAAACCTTGAAGTGACCAAACAGGATTTATTCCAGGAGCCTAAGTTTGGTTCAACACATAAAAATTAATGTAATACACCATATTAATGGAATACAGGACAAAGGCTTTATGTTCACCTCAGTGGGTGTATAAATGCTTTTAACAAAATCCAAATCTTTTGGTGATACAACACTGAGTAGGAAAAGAAAAGAGCTTCCTCAGATTGATGAAAACCATTTACAAAAAATCCATAGCTAAGTTAAGCATGGTAGTGCATGCCTGTAATCCCAATACAATGGGAGGCTGAGGCAGGAGGATCAAAAGTTCAAGCCCAGCCTAGGCAATTTAATAATGTATTTAGACCCTGTTCCAAAGTAAAAAATAAAAGGCTGAGGGCACAGCTCAATGAGAAGGCTCTGGGAGCAATCACAAGTTCCGAGGTGGAGAGGCACTAACATCATATGTAATGGTGAAGGACTGAAAACTTTTCCTCTAGGATCAGAAACAAGAGAGTATCTGCTCCTGCATTTCTGTTAAATATTGTACTGGAAGTTCCTGTGAGGAGACTGGACAAGAAAATAAAGTAAAAGAAATTCAGACTGGAGAGGAAAAGGTAAAACGTAGCTATCTGCAGATGATATAATCCTACATACAAGAAAAAAAAAATCCAGAAAAATCCACACCAAAAAATCAGTTACAGCTGATACAAAAATTCAGAAAGCTGCAAGATATAAAACTGATTTGCAAAAACCAACTGTATTTGTATATAATCTGAAAAGGAAAACAAGAAAACTATTCCATTTCCAACAGCATCAAAAGAGTAAAATACTTAGGAATATATTTAACCAAAGAATCGCAAAGCTTACACACTGACAACTACAAAAATTGTTGAGCAAAGTTAAAGAAAATCTAAATAAATGGCATGGCCTCCTACGTGGGCAGACTGAGACCTAATATTGTTAAAAATGACAATCCTCTCTATCTGGATGCTGGCTAAACACAACCTGGATGTGTCCATGTCAGGTGAAAATTTAGAGCAGCACGACAAGTACAGCAGATGGGCCTCATTGTGCGTGGGGCTGTCCCATCTACCGAAGGCCTGACAGAACTGAGGGTTAATGCATGGAGGACTCATTCTCAGAGCTACCCCACTGTCTGCCTAGGACTCAGACCTGGCCTAGGAGCTACCTCTGCTCACCACCTGCAGACCCTAGGACTTAGCCTCCCATCTAGTGAGCCTGTTCCTTAACATCACTTCTCTCTTCTCCTTTTCCCTCTACACAGACACACATTCACAGACACATAGGCACAGATACATACACGCATACACATACATACAACACATGCAGGTACTTGCATGTCTCCTACTGACAGTATGTCTGGAAAATCCTGACTAATGTACTCTTTAAATTGATATTCACATGCAACACAATCCCTATGAAAATATAGAGATTAACAAGCTTATCCTAAAATTTACATGAAAACACAAGGGATCCAGAATAGTTACAATAATCTTAAGAAAGAAAAAAAAAACAACTGTAGGACAGTTACTGGTTTCAAAACATCCTGTAGGGCCGGGGATTTAGCTCAGCGGTTCGGTGGCCCGCCTTGCAAGCGCAAGGACCCGAGTTAAATCCCGGTACCAAACAAAACAAAAAACAAAACAAAAACCACCCTGTAAAGATACAGTAATCAAAATAAAGTAATACAGTCGAAATATGGACAAACTGACCAATCAAATTCAGAGCCCAGAAATAAAGTCTTGTATAGTAGTGAAAGTTTTCAGTGAAGGTACCTGAACCACAAGATAGCATAAAGGGTCTGGTCAACAAGTGGAGCTGGATAAATTTGATTTCCTCATGCCTAAGAATTAAAGACTTCTGGGAAGATGGCAGAGCGTTCCTGGGACATGGTTGAGAGATGGAATCTACAGAGAAATAGTGAAAGCAGGTTCCAGAGTCCTCCAGGGAGAAATGTGCCAATGGAACAGAGCAGTGGATGCAGTACCCTAAAACAGCTGATAAGTGACTCCAGTCCAAGCAACTGCCTTGTACCCTGGCCTTGCCATATGACATTTTAGAGAGGAGCCAAATAAATCCAGGATTCAGAGCAGCTGTGTGTTGGCTTCATTTTAGGGCTCCCACTATTAAAACCCATAGTGGACCAGGGATTTAGCTCAGTGGCACCGTGCCTGCCATACAAGCACAAGGTCCTAAGTTCAATCCCTGGTACCCAAAAAACTAAAAAACAAAAACAAAAAAACACCCTAGTGATTGAGTGAGGGACAACCACAGGAGACATGCAGGGTTAGGGAACCTTGTCAGGCAAATGAGACACCCAAAAGTTATAGGCTAAACGACTTGGGCCCCAACCCCATGTCCAGAGGCCAGGATCAGCCTGAACTTCTGTAAATTTCAAAGTCCCAGAACTGGCATCCCACCCTATTCCTATGGCAGGTTTGCTGCACGTATCCAGCACAAATCTGGGTTCTGACCACCTCCTCAGTCTACCAGTGATAGCAGTCATGCCCTGAACTGGACACTACCACAAAACTGTAGACCCCAAAAGATAACTACAGGTTTGAAATAACGAGAAATTTCTTTTTTTTCTCATCACTTGTGGGCTTTTGTTTGGGGGGTATTGATTCATTTCTATTGTTTGTTTTTGTTGTGTACTGAGTGTGAACGTTGTTTTCAATTTTTTTGTTTTGTTTTGTTCTTGTTTTTTGTCCTTCTTTACCAGTTTCCTGAGACTTGCATAATCTACCTTTGTCCTTCAGCCTTGCTTCTCTCTCTTATTTCTCTATTTTTTCCTCTTTTTAAAATTTTCTCACCTTAGGGTAAAATTGCTCTGAGTATATATTTTCTGTACATAGTTTTCTGATTGTCTTAAATTTTGTTATATAACTATAAATCTTTACCTACTGTTAAAGGTGACAATAGTTATTATAGTTTGTCATTTTCCAATATGAGCTTGATACTATTATTTTTATTACTGGTTGTACTACTTTAGCCATGGTGACAAAATTGTTGTGATGAACTGATCTCCTTGTATGCCAATACCTAGATTACCTGAGTGTCATAAACATTAGTATAGTCCAGTAGCAAAGAACTGGGTGCTAGGCCAAACAGGTAGCAACCTTTCATCGTTAAGAAATTGAAGAAGCAAAATCCTATTATTTGTTTGGTTTTGTTTTTTATTTTTATTTTTATTCTTTTTTCTTTCTTAAAAAGAAAATTTCTCATTTGCTTGTTTTCAGTTTTTCTTAATTTTTCACAAAAGCATATACATTGTCTTAGTTACTTTTCTCATTGGTGAGATAAAATACCTGACACCCAAAGTTAAAGTGGAAAAGGTTTACTTAGCTCACAGTTTGCAGAGGTTTCAGGCCTTAACTGGCTGGCCCCAGGGCAGGGTGACTCATGACAGAGGGGCAACAGTTTATGGCAGCAGAAGACAGAAAAAGCAACAAGGGACTTTAACAGTATCTTGCTGCCCTTTTATCTTACCTAGACTACCAAGGATTAGGACAGTGCCAAACCAAACAAAAGACTAGTTTAGTAATCACACATCCTTAATCCCAGCATCATACTCTAGATTCATCAACCTCTGAAAAGACCCATCTAAGACTTCAAGAGGCTTGGTGCAGACATCTAGACATAAATCACAACACACATTTTTTTTTTTTTGGATACAGGACTGCAAGCTGGCCTTGGTACTCCTGCCTCAGCCTCCCAAGTACTGAGATTTCAGGTGTGCACCATCATACCCAGCAAAGAGGCAGAATACTGGAACAGACTCAAAAGTCAAAAGCCAGCAACGCCTAGAAGACATCTCTGAAAAGCAGTCATTTCCTAGAGGTCTTGATACTAGTAATAAAGCTACCTACCATAAGCAATTTATAAGCCTTAATGCAGAAAATAAACAAAATAGAAAATGAGAAAACATATAACCCTCAATTCACTCAAGGCAAAGCAAGGGGGCACTGAGGTGGAAGAAATAAAAAACCACCCAGCTGAATTTTATGAAATGGTAGCAGCAGAAGTACAACAGAGAACAATAAGTCTCTTGAAAAAAACCAAAAATAATTAAAGCGATGACAACCATAATGACAGAAATAATTAATCTACAGTAGTAGATACAGATTAAAAAAAAAATCAGAGGAGTTTAGGAAAGACATGGAAACCATGAATACTCAACAGAGAAAAGAACTGGATACCATAAAACAGACTCAAATGGTAATCCAGGAGATTGGGGGTGATGGAAATGTGCTAGAATTAGGTAGTGGCAGTGGTCACACAACTTGTGCCCAAAACCACTGAACTGTACCCACTAAAAGGATGAACTGCATGATGTATGAATTATGTTCCATAAAAAGAAGAATCAAGGACCAGTCTAATCAGCAAATCTCATCAGAAGAGTGATCCATCCAGACTGGCTGCTACCCACCTGTTCATAGATCTCAATGGCTTTCTGGTACTGTTCCAGCTGTGCAGCATAGGCGGCGACCTTCAGCAGACATTTGTTAGCGGAGCTGGAATTAGGCAGAGCACACAAATAAGCATCCATAGGAAATACAGAGGTGTGTACACAAGGGCCCAGAACACTTTCATTTGGTACAAAAACCCTGAGTATAAAAATGATCTGTCTTTTACCACACATACAAAACCTACTGTCTAATATTAAAGAAATAATACTCACCTGTTAGATTCTTCTCCTTTGTAATAATCAGCAGACTGTTCATAATGTGCAATAGCCTGAAAACACATAAATTTTATCTTCAATTCATGTGAAGACCTACATTTAAAAAACTATGTTTGAAAAAATGTTTTTATGTTTGCACAGATTTTTTCCTATAAAATCTACTGGTGTCAGCAGTAAACCTTACACAACGTGAACTACTTTATTCAGGGAATGTACCAGGAAGCCTGTCTGTGGCAGAACACTTGCTACACAGCAGAATCTGCTGCCCCCTTCCCTCCAGAGCCAATGCCCAGCACACATCTCTCCAGTTTCCCTGCAAGAAAGGATAGGCACGTTCTCTCCAACAGAACAGAATTAGGAAACTAGGGCTGCTTCAGGGCTTGGGCTGCACACCTTACTGTGTGCCTTCTCCAGACCTTTTCTACGTCCATAAGCTAGAACAGGAGCAACCACATCCAAAGTGACATGATGGTCACAGGCTGAAGATAGCAGAACTCTGCCAATCTGCTTCCTAAACGACCCAAGGGGCAGAACACACCCCAACCCCAGGACACCAGCCACCACCAACAGTAGCTATGCTGGATTGTTACTTTAGAGCGACATGGAGCCCTAGGACACATTATGCCTGCAACCTACTCTAGCAGCACAGACTATGCTCAGTAACACTCAGTGTCATGTGGAGGAAGGGTGTTAACACCCTACAGTCAGGTGGAAAGGACCCAGGATGCAGGCTGGAAAGCTCTAGTCCTTGTCTTGGTGTGGCAAAAGACAGAGTAAAATCAGGAGGTAGAACAGGTGTCCACCAGAACAGGAAACTAGATGAGGTAGCTGGGAAGAGCCATGTGGTAGTGTCGCTGTTGTCACAAGGGATGCCCTCTGCAAAGAATTAGCTGGTTCACAGGTGGTTAGGAAAGTTCAGGGATAAGGGCATATAAGACTGAAAAAGCCAAGGCTTCTATACCCACTGAAGACAACATAATCGGTTAAATATGCTGGACTACTGGGCTATGATCTAAAAGCAATGGGCAGAAAGTATCAAGATTGAAAGTTCTTCATGAAATATTAATTTTTAAAATAAGCCAAGCATGGTGGCACATGCCTGTAATCCCAGTACTCTGGGAGGCTGATGTAGGAGGAATTTATTCTTAATTGAAAGTCTGTGGGGCTGGGGGTTACTCAGTGGCACAGTGCATTATCTGGCAGGAACAGGGCACTGGGTTTAATCTCCAGCACCACCAACCAAGCCCCCCTCCAAAAGAAACTTTATTTGAGCTGTCCAAATTCTCTGAAGTGTTCAGGTGTTTCACACTATAATAAATGGGATGAGACATGAAAAGAAAGACCAAATTTTCTAGAGATCAGAGAATATCCCCTCTGCCTGGGCAGAAGTGGTAGCTGTCTTCCCAGTTCTTACCAGGTACCAGTGAACAAGACACAGTCAAGCTACACAAAACTGCTGTTGGTATATTTTTTTGGAGGGATGGCCAAAAATTGACAACATGGTTTAACTTAGTATTTATTAAGGTCTGGTGCTGGGTCAGCAAACTGTAGTTGGGAGAAATAAAAACTATATCATAAACCTGTATCAAAGTAAAAGACAGGCCTTCAGTTTGGTCTTAATAATGCTAATTAAACCAATCATCCAACTCCAGTGTTTTCCCACGCTGTGACTGAGAACAGACTTAAGGATGGGTCAGAGTGCACAGGGTGGCTGTGCATCACCCCAGGGTGCTCACATGGAGTGTGGAATTGCAACACCTAGTGACAGCAGGAATGGCACACCCACACCCAAAGTCAGCGCCCACTGAGGAGAACACTGAGGAGAGGCAGCCTCAGGGGGCTTTAAATAGGACCAATCTTCTAAAACTGACACCCTGGGACTGGACCCACTGTGAACCTGCCACATACCTTGACCCTCCGCTGAAACAGAGAATTTGAAATCAGGTCCTTCTGGAGCCTAAATGAGGACCTATGCACTGCTGGGGTCAGGGTTTCCATCTCGAGGATGAGGGCAACGGCCCAAACTTAGGCAAGCACACAGTTCACTGTCCAACTGCTAACATCTGTGAGTGATCAGAGAACACCACCTGGGAATACTAAGAGGGAAGCCTTTAATTTGAAGAAAATGTGTAAAGTATCTTAGGGGATTCATTTCTCCCAAATTAAATTCTACTCATCACTGACCACAATCCTGAGTCTCACAGGGATAGGGAAGGCAAAAGCACTTCTCCACAACACAAAGAGGAAGCCCAGACATTTGGAACTCAATAAGTCAACCCTCTCTGTGCCTGGGAGAGGTGCTCTCCCTGGGACGGTTGAACAGAAGGTGCCACCTACTGGTGATTCCCAGGAATGGCAGGCACACCTGAGGAGCAGGGTTTCCGAAGCAGAGGTTCATTTTCTTAAAAAGGAGGGAAATGTGCTACAATGGTTTCATTCATCCACTCTAATTTTATGGAGACCACGTGATGAAGTGCCAATTGGGACCACACCCAAGGCAGAAATATCACAAGACCATGGTTCCTACCCCACATTGCGCCTTTGACTACCACGGACCAGGAATCCAAGCCAGGAAGACAATGTGCAGTGCTGTACTTGACCACTCACTCCACCTCGTAAAGATGCTATGCTCAGCCCTGACCCTCGATCCAGGGCAGGCTTTGCCTCCCTCCTGCCCAGCACTCATCCCCTACAGGTAATAGCTTCTAGAGAGAAACACACATGCAATATGCCAAGGTTCAGGTAGCTCCCGTTCATGGGATTTCAGCGCTTCCTTGAAAAGCACAGCAATTATGGGGGCAGGGGAAGAAGGAACATTATGTAGCAAGCGAGAGCAAATGTGTGCAGTAGCCAAAAGGGTGAATGTCAGCCGTGCCACCCAACCTCAGCACGCTTAGAGCCTCCCATCCACCTACTGGGTCAAGGATAGCGTGGGTGCTTACCCAGCACCGGCACACTCAGAGCATTCTACCAGGGAAGAGCTCTGTGCCACGGGGGCCATTAGAGAAGCAGGTCGGTCTAGTGGACAGAACATGAGCAGACATATCACATGCACGGGCTGCCGAGCAAGAGGAAAAGCTTAGTGAGGCAGGGGAGGGTATTCTTGTTGGGCTAAGGTGAGAATCTGAACTCAGTGGCCATGACCGGCTTCATGGAAAAGGTAACTAAGAGCAAAGATTGAAGTCGGCCATAAGGACATGACAGAGTAAGGAGTTGCCACAGACATCTGAAAGAGTTCTGTAGGCAGAGGGAATGGCCAACGTAAAGGTCCTGGCAGAAGTTCACCTGGGATGTGTAAGGAGAGTGAGAGAAGCAAGAGGCCCTAAGCGCACAAGGCACAGGAGAGGCTAAGCTTGTGGGGGAGCGGCAACCATGTATGAGGGCCCTGCTGCCCCTCTGGGGGTAGGGAGCCAACAACATACTTGCTACTGACAGGCACCCCTTGGTGTGCTGCAGCATGCAGGCTTGGGGTGAGGAGAGGGGTCCATTAGGCCCTGTTCCACTCAGGAAAGCAGTTGCCCTACTCAGACCCCTATCAGCACTCTGCCATGCCAGCCAGTGGGGGACAGGGGCAGGTCGCGGGCTCTCTGTCCACCCACTTGGCACAGAGGTCATGGGAAGTTGTGTCCAGCGCTTACCTTCTCAATGTCCACCAGCTCAGTCTCATAGATCTCAGCGATGGTGATGTGGTGCTTGGCTGCGATTGTAAACCTTCCCTGGGGGGAAAAGACCAGAGTCACACACCAGCTTCACCTATGCGAATGCCACTCGGCTTGAGAACAGAACAAAAATACAACTCTAAGCCATGTTAGGGCCTCCACCCCACAGCTGTCAAGCAAAGCAACATCTTACCATGTCTGTGTAAATGTCGATGGCTGCATTTAAGCAGTTGATAGCCTCTGAAGCGTAGGCATTTAAGAAAAACAATGAAAAATCCATTCAGTCAGAGGATTCAGGTGAGTCTGTCTTCCTGGCTATCATTAGAGAGGCAATGAAGTACAACCAGGGGCATGGGGCAGCAGTTAGGGAGGAGCAAACACAAGTCATGCACACGTCCAGCAGAGGCAGTGTAGCTAAGCGAGAGGGCTGGAGTGCTAGAGACTCGGTTACTAGTAACCTTGAGGTGAGGACTTCATCCAGGTGACACACTGGTGACTGTCACCCTCCCCTGACAGTTACATCTGCTAACACATGTAATTAAATGTGCTCTTCCCATCTAGAGTCTACCTTCATGCAGCAAAAACCAAATGTACTTTGAAACGCCTGTTTAGACAATGGATCAGTGAAGCCCAAAACTGTATATATGCTCAAAGGTGCCAACTTCCGGTGAACTAGCACAGCCACAAAAGGAAGGAAAAAGTCTAGTGGATGGTAATGATGACTTTCTAAAATGCAAAGTTTCCCCTATCACACAATGGTGGTATTTACACTGCTGCCACCTGGTTGACAGCACCAAGCTGATCACTTTTGGCTTGAAAGAGGCAGCAACACAGAAAAGCTTCACCCCAGAATTAGAAAAGTAAACAGAATGACAAAGATTGAAAGCAATTTCTCCAGTAACTATATGAAAATGCAGACTCACTGTTAAATCATAAAAACTATAGAAAAAAGAGTTAACCTCCAATTTCATACACACTCCGCCTCAGCACCAGCATTCGGACTGCTTTCCTTCCAGTGTGTTTAGAGGCACTGTCTTCTCAAGCTGAGATCTTTTTTGGCTCTTTAATTACAACGTGAACATTCAGAGGCCACAGAAGCATCTGAACAAGAGATTATGCTACATTCTAAGTTCACCCTGGGTCCTCAGAGCTCTTGTAGGCTATGCCCCATCTTCACTGAGAGGTGATCCATCTTTATATAAAAGCCTTGGAGATATCTTACTTCTTTATGGCATGTCCATAAAAGCTGGGATTTGTGTTAAATAAAACGGAGAGCTCAAAGGAAAAAGAGAGATTCAAAGCTATCCATACACAAGTGGGAGGAAAGATATTAAAACTTTTAATTGCTCTGTATGCTTTTCCAACTAACTAAGAACATTTGCAAAATCTTACCACTTTAAATATCTAATTTCATTCTTTTTTCAAAATAAAAATTTTAAAATACACTAAAAAAGCAAATGAACACTGTGTGGCTAAGTGATGTTTTTAACCACTGGATATAACAATCTCTCACCAAATGGATCTTAAAACTCACTGGGTACTCAGGAAAAGGTAAACAGCAAACTTTCCTTGTCTGATTAAAACCATATCATGTACAATTGAGATATGAGAAGTGTTAAAACCCTCTACAGTTACCACATTCCTCTAGTGTTCCACAAGGCAATCAAATTCCTTTTAGAGGACTCAGAAGACTGAAGGAATCTGGCTCACAGTCCTGCAGAACTTGGCAGCTGCCTTACCTTGAGGATCCGCTTTTTTGTATGCATTTCCAGCATCCACGAAGCTGGTGGCTGAGTCGTGCTTGCTCTGAAGCTGCATGTGGAGCTTGGCAGCCTGACAAAATGCATTTCCTGCGGCTGAGGAAGACAACATCACAGTGAGACACAAAGGAACAGGATGCCAGGCACCACAGCCAGGCTGCAACTGCTGGACCTCCTGGAAAGCAGCATTCCAGTTGGAGCCCAAGTCAGCATGGTCAAGTGCAGTTGGTACTTATAAAAGAAGTCGAATCAGCACCAGGCATGGTGGTGTACACCAGCAATCCCAGCACTCAGGAGGCTGAGGAAGGAGGATCATGAGTTTGAGATCAGCCCAGACTACATTCGGAGACCCTGACTCAAAAAGCAAAACAAAATAGATCTAAAACATTTTTAATCATACAGCAATACTAAAGCTAAATAGTAAAGCTAAACATCTGCTTTGGATTACTTTGTAGGAAATAAACCATCCAGTGTGCTAAAGCTTCAGCTGCATCCCTTGTCCTATGCTGTTCTCCAGATGTGCCAACCAATTACCACACAGGGGTCTGGACTTCTACCTTGGGGGAAAGCAGCTGCACAAACCCTGGAGCCAGCCTGCCCAGGGTCAATTCCTGCTCTGAGCCTCAGTTTCTGACAAAAAGAGTACCAGGTGGTTCTGAAGACACTGAACCAGCAGCCCAATATCAGTATTGTTCTGATTTGAATGCTGATGTTCCTCCAGAATTCACATGTGGGACATAATGTGTCTGGGGACAGCATCAGGAATAGGGGCTTTGGGGACATGGTTAAGTCACTCAAGAATGGGCATGCATTCTCGTGAAGGATGTTGACAGCAGCTGCCTTGTCCTGTCTGCCACTTTAGAGACAGAACAGCCCTCTTGAGTCTGCTGCTCCCTTGATCCTGACCAGTCAAAGTGGATGATGTCCTGACCCGTCAGAGCCCATGTTGGCCTCAAAAGAGGACTTAGGCCCCTGCCAGGGCTGTGCCCAGGGTGCTAAGGCAGTGGTTCACCACCAAGAGGCAGAGCAGGAGGCACCAGCTTGACAGTAGCTCTGAGGGCTCTGCCTCCCAAGGGCAGCACAGCCACTCACATCCCAGTAGTGCCTGAAAGGGCCTGGCCCACATGTACTAGGTCATCACTTCCATTAATGTGCAAAACTACCCTTAGCTCCATCTGGGATGACAGGTTTAAATATCAATGTTTCTTTATAATTTACATCGCCCTCTCCTGCCAGTACTGCAATCTCAGTACTTTACATTCACTGTTCCAGAACTGATCTCGGTCTCTCCATCCACTGCTAAGTAGGAAGTACAATTTCTAAGCTCTCTTGGGCTGCCTCCATTCTCCTTGGGGTCCAAGTCCTTCACTCTGACACTGTCCCAGATGGCTTCTGACTTGCATGTCACTCCTAGGACCAGTGCCAGCTTGGTCTTTCCAGATCTGGAAGTGTCTTTCAAAGAGCACCATACTCCATGGTCTCTAGGAAGGCATCCAACTTCTCAGACTAAATTTCCTTATCTGTACAACTGGCCTAATACTTGCCATAATGATATTTCAAAGCCAAGTTATCAAAGGCATTAGCATATTATAAAAAACTTTAAAAAAATCACAGAGATGGAATGGTGTCATGATTGCCACCACTGCACCATGGACTGGTGTTTATTCAATCACCAACAAATACAGAGCATCTGCTATGCTGCAGACATGAATCTGGGCCTGGAAACACACCAGGGATAAAACAGACACCCTGCTCTTCTGAAGTTTATATTCGAATGCTAAGTAACAAAAACACAAATATAAATAACTGAAACACTATATAACCCATTTATTTTGGCTAGCCTGTAACTAAGAGCACAGAAGCAAAGAGAAGGAAGTTTCCAGGAAGGAGACTGCTGTTTTAAGAGTGGCCAGGGAAGAGTGCTCTAAAATGACTTTGGAGAAGAGCCTGAAGGAAGCAGGGAACCAGCCACATTCTATCTAGGAGAAAAGGGTGTAGGCAGAGGAACATCTCATGCAAAGGCTCTGAGGTGGCTGTGGGGGGGCACATGGCAGCAAGCAGAGGATGGTCAGAGACAGGAAGGGGAAGGTGAGAAGCACAGCAGCATGGACACATCAGCCCAGGCGACAGCATGGCAGGGAAATGAGGTTTCCAAGCGAGACAGTACCACTCACTAGATCATTAAGTATGTACTCTTCTTAAGAAAGATCACTTTTTTTCCCTAACACAGAAGAACTTTTTTAATCAAAGAAAGAAAATATACAGTTTCAATGTTTTTACATTTAGTTCACCTAGAGTTTGATTTTTTAATTCCATAATTCTGAACTTGCACATGTAACCTGCTTGCATTCTGGAAAGATCACTTTTTAACTTAGGGTTATTAGATGGGGATTCTAGGACAAAACCTTCTTCCCTTCCATTTTTCAACAGAATATAATTCAGACATAAGTGCATTTCGATAACATAGTATCACCCTTTTAACTACAGCCCTATGCAAAACTAAAGTTATAAACGAAGGAAGCACTTTCCCTTTGAAATGACTTAAAGTAACTGCCCTGCAGGTAAATGGCGAAACAGCTTGCCGAAGGCATGGGAGTCATCTTCAATCTCTCCGCAGAGCTGGGGACCAGGTCTCCAGCTGGCACCAACTGAGCCCTGAAACTTTCTCTTCCAGGGGGAAGGGATGTACCTTCCTCTCAAGTCACTGTTAGAATGGGGCATCCCATCTCAGGCCAAAGGATAATGCTGCTGATTCTGTCCTGTGACTTCAGGGGAGAAGGCATTACACAACGCTAGAAGGAGCGTCTGTCTGGCAGGGCATTTACAAAGATATAAAGAGTGGCAGTTCGCAGGGAACTCGGTAACTTATCTTAGAGCAGGGAACAGTTAGAAATGCCCAACCAATGCCACAGAAAGAAATCCAAGCACTTCCATTTATCCTGCGAGCTTTAATTTGTTTCACTTCAATCTCTTTCCTATGGTATTTAAGCATATTAGTAAGAAGCAAAGATTACGCTAAGTCACGTTAACTCTCTTTAGTTACCTCAATCTTATCATATTAGATAGTTTAGCAAACATTACAGCAGATACTGCCATGTGTTTAAAACTTGAAGCCAGGTTTTCAGCTCATTTCACCAAGTCATGGTCCTTGTAGCACTGACACCTGTCTCCAGCCAACAGTTTCACACTTCATGGGGAATAAAATAAAAACAGTCTTGTCCTCCCACAAAATGATTTTAAAATATTAAACAACAAAAAATTTGTACATACCACTCCAATTTTTAGCCATCTTGAACATATTTGCAGCTCTGGTATACATTTCACAAGCCTCTTCTATTCTTGTGTTTCCTCTAAGAAAAAATTCAAACATAAGGTTACATTATTATAATGACCATCTAAGTCCCTCATCCTCCCACCCTCAATAATAAACATTTCCTCAGCACTATGAGTCATACATTACAGCGTCCCTACAGCTCTTCAAAGAGGCCAGCATCCCATGTTCTAGATGTGAAGACTGAGACACATGTGGTAGAGTCACCACCCAGGTCGCCTGCACATACCACCGAGAGGAGACTCCAGGACCAACCTGGCTGAACTCAGAATACACACTAAACAGTGTCCCTTCTATGATAAAAACTCAAAGTTTTACATAGGTCTGAATAGTTAGAGGTGTTTTCTAAACTAAAATTTAACTTGATTTGTTTTTATACCCGACCATATCACAATTATTTTCGGTCTAGAAGCCTATTATCCCTTCTAGCTAGCCAACTTTTAGTTCTTTTTTAAGGTATATTTTATTAGTGCCTATTAATTATTATTATTATTATTTATTATTATTATTATTATTATTATTATTATTATTATTAGGGAAGGTCTTGCTATGTAGTTCAGGCTGGCCTTGAACTCACAGTGATCCTTCTGCCTCAGCCTCCCAAGTGCTGGGGTTACAGCAGTGTGCCACCACACCCAGCAGTGCCTATTAATTTTTACAAAATATTGTGTTTCAATGTGATATTTTCATATCTGCATATAACATATTTTGATCACATCCACCCCCCTCTATTATTCTTACATGCTAGAAGTGTATTTTTTAAGGGACATTAAATTCTGAAGGCTAAGGATGGTTTTACCTTACAATTTTCCAGAGTTTAATACCATTTATTCAGACTTTAAAACCTGAGTCAGAACGTGGGAGAAGGAGCCAATCTGCTCTACGAGGTACTACCAGGCAGGGGTACGACCTTCCCATCCCACAGGCATCAGGTCCAGCCCTCCAGGGACAGAAAGGTACTCTGACATTGAGAACACAGCCCTCCACTGCTGTGTGAACGCAGCAGTTCTGGAAACCTGAGCATCAGGCACCTGATCCCACTGGGGGAGGGCTTCAGCTGCTCACACGCTCCTTCTTACATAACAGCCAAACTCATCGTGTGTAATTCCCCAGAGTCCTAATTCAGCACTGCTTTTACTAAGCTAAAGCTCATCTATGAAAGACATTTCATCCATCTTGTCTAGCTACATTACAAATAAAAATAACCAGAGGAAAATACAGGCCCAGTGGACTGTGCAGAGCACACACCAAGAGGCCCAGTGCAGTGTAGACACAGGAACTCAGACAGGAGTGTCCCCAACCCTGCAGACTGAACACAATATGAACATGCATAGCTGAAACTCACATTCCAGACCCTCAGGCACTCCCAGCTCCAGCCCAGGGGCACACAGCTCGATGTGGCACATGCCCTGGCACACAGGCCAGGTTGGGCATATAGGAGGCCTAAGCGTAACTTTATAACTGGGTTTGTAAATTTTCAAACAGTTCAGCTTCTTTCATGAGCTATAAAAAGTAGGGATTTCTGCAGCAAGGAGATACAGAAGCCCCAGGACAACAGAGGTATCCATCAATGAGTGAATGGACAGAGAAAATGTGGTAGCAAGGTGTGCCTATAATCCCAGGACTCGGGAGGCTGTGACGGGAGGATTGCAAGCACTAGGCCAGCCTGGGCTACACAACAAGTCCAAGGCCAGTTTTAACATAGCAACACACTGTCTCAAAAAAAAAAAAAAAAAAAAAAAGGAAAAAAAAAAAAAAAAAAAAAAAAAGTGGTAGATATACACAATGGAATATTATTCAGCCACGAAAACAACGAAATTCTGTCACTTGCAGGAATATGGGTAGAACTGGAACACATGACCAATACCACATGGCCTCTCTTCTATGCGGAATCTAAACAGTTGAGCTCAGAAGCTCACTGAAGTCCAAGTGGTCTCAGAGCCCAGCAAGGGTGGGAGGGTAGAGAGAAGTCCACACATGGGTATAGGAATAACTCCTACATTCTATATATAGCATGGGAGGGTTACCACCGTACAGATGACAACAAAAACAGTTGAGAGAGAGCATCAAGATTCCTGTTACAAGGATATGATCAGTTCTAACAGGCATCCCAGTTACTCTGATCTGATGGTTACATTGTTTATATGTACACACTGCACCCCATAAATATGTACACTTAAACATGTGCTGATTGAAAATAAAAATATAGATATTAAAAAGGCAGGCAGAAAAGAGAACACTCCAGAAAGTGAATGTGAAGTCTTACACCAAAAGCCTCTTCCCAAGATCTGAGGCAGCACATGAGAGTGCTTTTGCTTACCATAAATTGGTGACACAGAAGCCTGTGGAACAATGGCAAGGCCCAAGCTGGGCTTCAGCCAGATACCCACAAAACAAGTACTTCCCTCACCACCCTGCTCTCAGGAACGCCTGGGCCAAAGGGATGAAGAGGAAACACTGCCTGGCATGGTGCCAGCAAGCAAGTCTCTTGGATGCAGTTTTCTGAGTTTCTTTTTTGTTTTGTTTTTTTCCTGGTACCAAGGATTGAACAGAACCTTGCACTTGCAAGACAAGCATGCCACTGAGTTAAATCCCTGGTCCCTCTGCTTATTTAAGAAAAAAAAAAAAATCACAAATTCTTATACATAGGAAAGAACTTGAGGCATTCAAGGACTTATGACCAATATGTCAAAGTATAAATTCTTGAAATAAAGATTCTACTATTGCGAAGGAGGAAAATGAAAACAGCCAGAGAATGAAAATGAAACAAAAGGAAAAGAATGGAGAAAGAATGATAGAGAGGAGACAAAGAGCAGATGCGCATGTAAACACAACCCCAGGGTGGAGGGGCAGCCACCCAAACAGGTATTTACAACTCAGGATCTTGGAAACTTTCCTGAAAACAAAGCTGTAAAACAAAGCTGTAAAAAGGCAAAGGTACTTATGAAAATAACAAAACAGAGTTAGCATCAGACTTCAACAGTAGCACACACAGCAAGACAACGGGGGGAACAGTTTTCAAAAATCTCAAGGGGAAAAAAAGGCAGGCCAGTGATTACCCAGCAAGTCAGGTAGCCATCTAGTGCCACTGACCTAACAAGAGGCCAGCACTCCAGGGACACAGAACTAACTTCCAGCTGGGAGACAGGCCAGCAAGAATATGGGTGTGGCTCTAGTTATGTTTTACAACAGACCTAAGATCAAAAGAAAAGACACTGATAAAGGAAGAAAAATACCCAACATTTTTATGTCTGACAAAGTATGAAGAGAGAAAAAGAGAAGCCCATGTTGAAGAAAGGGAGTATTTTCCACACAAACTAAGTAAGTGCCTAAGTAAGGAATAGGAGCTAAGAACATTTAAAAATTCCCTCCTGGAATCAGACGAGGTCCACTCATAATACTACAGATGAATTTCTCAACAAATTTATCTTAGCTTGAGTATCTATGCACCAAAACATAGTAGTCACCTTAAGAAGAAACTACATACAGCATAAACATTACCAGTCCAACAAAAATACACATCTTCACGTGAAGAGAAATAGCAAATAAAAACCTAACCTACAGTCAATGTAACAGCACAGTATTGTTGCCAGGGACGCAAAAGCATTTGGATTCATCCATCTCCTACTAGCAAAAGTACAAGAAAAGCCCATAAAAAATGGAAAAATTAGTTTATTCATAATTTGGCCAAATTGGGAATGGGGAACACAGGCCACATTATCTTCTTCTGAGCTAGTTCTGAATAAGCTTTTTCCTTCTATCAACACTCTGCCTCCTGAGTTTTAGGGAATAAAAAGTAATATAGACCTTAACCTTGGCCACAATGTGACAGAGCTAAGAACAAGCACAGGTTTTCAAGTTTGCTCACAAAATAAATTCCAACTCTGTGCTTAGTAAAAGAGACACAACTAAAAGCCATTTTGGAAGGCTTAAAATAGCCAACTTTTGTTAATTTGTCACACCCACCACCCACCTCACTTCTCCACCCACTCCACTGTGCTTCAGGCTGCTCCAAGTGCCAGCCTTCTCCTGGAAGGTAGCCCCTCCCAGGGGGCTTACACTTCTGTACAGAGGGGCTGTGTCCCTCCAAGCCAGCCACACAGCCACCACAGGGCACGTGGCATCCAGGTGAGTGTCCATTCCTCTTACATAATGCAGTCCTGAGCAAATGCTTAGTGATAAGAGAGCAGGACACAGAAGAACAAAATCCTACAAGCAGTTAGAGAAAAAAAACCAATCACATACAAAGGAAAGCCCATCAGAATCACAGGAGACTTCTCAACACAAACCCTCAAGTCAAGAAGAGCCTAGAGTGAAGTATTTCAAGCCCTAAAAGAAAATAACCTCCAACCCAGATTAATGTATCCTGCAAAACTATCTTTCAAAATTGATGGGGAAATAAGATACTTTCATGACAGAGCACCTGAGGAACTTCATGATACCAAACCAGCACTCCAAATAATTTTAAACAGTATCCTAGGACAAGAAAGCAGGACTGCCCTCCTGGAATCAGACAAGGTCCATTCATAATACTACAGATGAATTTCTCAACAAATTTATCTTAGCTGTGAGTATCTATGCACCAAAACATAGTAGTCACCTTAAGAAGAAACTACAGAGATGTGAGAAGAGAAAGACAGAAACAGAGGAGATATAAACACACTACTTTAACTCCAAAGTAGATCAACTGAATGAAAACAAAAACAAAAACAAAACACAGACACAAAAGACCTGGCATTGTAATCAATAATTAATTTTACAAATCTTTATCAAACTCTGAAAAGGAATACATACGTACCTTCCAAAATGTACATGGACAATTCGTTAACACCAATTATATATTAAGTGGCAAAGAAAAATGTCAGTATGTTCTTTTGTCACAATAAACTAAAACTAGAAAATAATAATAATATACAAAAAAAGGCCCTTCTGCTTGGAATACAGTCCCTTTGGATCAATGGGAAAATAAACTAAAAAATGATCTACAATATATAATTAAAGGAGTTTTAAAGCAGTTCT